CCGAACATGAGGTACGAGATGCTGATGGATTCCCCCATTGAAGACGGCGACGACGACGACGACGACGAAGAAGACGATGAGAGCGAAGAAGACGATGACGGCGACGACAGCGAGGGCGGCGACGACCAAGAGAGCGAAGAAGAAGACGACGACGAGTGCGACAGCGAAGACGAGAGCGACGACGGTGAAGACGACGCTCCGGCAGCGAGAAGAAGGAATACGAAGAGGAAGAGACAAGAGGACGGAACGGGTTCGTTTAAATACGCTTTCAGAACGTTCTTACCGAAATTAGGTCTGGGAATAGCCAGCAAGTTCAAAAGGAGAAAAACGCTTTACAGTCCGGTGCCGTCTCTTAAGAGACTGGAAAACTTCGATCGCAGCATAGAAATGTACTTTCGCTACGAACTTCCCGGGATGTCCAAATGCAGGCTTTGTCCGACAGTCCGGGAGAAGGACGACAAACGAGCGTGGGACGTTCGCGTCGAACTGTTGTCGCCGAGGACCTTGTTCGGATCAAGTAGGAGAAAAGATTACACGGAAGAGCTCACCCGAGAGCTGTGCGACGACGACGACAAAGACGTGGTCGGAGGCGAAGGCATCATGGATCTCGACGAGCTGATGGAAGTCGATCGAGGGGCCCTATCGCCGGAAATGGCAAAGTCCTTGGAGCTGATCGATCCGAGGGCCATAATCAGGGATCCGGAAGGCCGCCGCATATCCTTCCGACACATGCTGGCCTGGAATATGGAGTCGTACATGTTCAAGCCCGATTACTTTCTGCGCAGATCCTTTCCGTCCTGCGAGGCGGCGGAAATAAGCTAACTGTACATGAACAAACTAAACAAAGTCAAACACGGCGGTTCCTTGGCAAAGCAAGATGACCGCACAATCGAAGTTCAGTGTTAAGATTGATACAAATAGTATGTAGATTTGAAGAGATTTGAACAAATAAAGAATGAAAAAAAATATGAAAAAAGCCTAATTGTCAGTTAATTTTTGTCTCTCTTGACTTACTTACAAAAACGATAAGTTCGACATTTCTGGATTTTGTTGAAGAACGTAGGACGCCATGTAGAACGGTCACGAGTAAGTGATTCCGTTCTCGCGTCGTCGTTCTAATCGAAAGCTCCCTGTTGATATAGGAGACTATAAAAGTCCAACAGTTTGAAATCTCCTCACTTCACGAAAAAAAGTTTGCAAGAAAACATGACCGGAAAATTTGATACCAACCTTCCCTCAAACAGAGAAGACCTTCTGCCGTGCGAGCTGCTACCGGGCAGTCGGATCACCGAAGATTTCCTGTTCGCAGAGCCGATGACCGTGATATGCGTCGAAGCAACTTCGAACGAGATACCCAACGACTCTCTCATGAACTGCGAGTCTTACACGTACGTGTTGCTGCAGGTCATGTTTCGATTGGCTTCGCAGCTGCACTACATGAACAAGCCGTACCGGTGCGTGTGCTCCTTGCTTGAACCGAGCGTGATAGTTCACGAGAACGCCA